AGAGAGTCCCTGATGTGCCGGGAGGAGATGTCGCAGGCCTGTGAAAATTGACGGACGGCAACGGCACTTTACTTGGTATATTTCGCTCACTGGAAGGGAAACTAGAAGAACTTGACAACCTTAAGCGGGCTCCATGTCTGGGATCAGGGGCAGACGGAGGTAGTGCTGCAGTAGAAGCTTTTAAGGGAGGAAGGGATGCTGAAGCGCTTTTATTTGCTAGCACTAATGACCCGTCAGCATATGTGCGGACCTGAAATTAAGCATGGAACAAAATATAATTTAAGAAGCTAATTAATACATTTTTATTAGTTCGAGTGCGCCAAGCCTTTCAAGACAACTAACGTTATTAGGATTGGCAGAAGATGAACCACTAGTCCGCATCAGATTGTACATCATCTCTTTCTGTCTCAAATTCTGAAAAGTATAAAACCAGTCTCTCTTTCAAAAAAAAATTCCCTTAATGAATTAGCACGATATTGCAACAGAAATTTACATGAATTCCTTTTTTCTTTAGGGACGATCGCTTGAAATTTTCCATGCATCTTATCAACATACCTCTTTAAGCATCGTAATCTCTTCATGTGCGGAGTTTAAAGACAGTTTTAAATGGTCACGTTCCCCTCGTAAAGAGTTAACTTCCTTCCTCATCTCAGCTAGCAGCAACCCCTCTTGCCGATTACCTCAAAATGATATCGTCACAGTAAGGTTAACAAAATAAGTTGGCTGTTCCCAAATAAGAAAGGATATTAAAATAAGAACCTTTTAAATATTGATTTTCCACTAGTTAAAATGAGTGATAATAAATTAGAGGTGGAAAGTAATGCATGGGACCTAGAGTTACTAAATCTTACCATGTTCGCAGTGAACCCTGAGTTCATGCATCTTCACTAGCATTTGCTTCCTTTCATTGATAAGGAATAAGACCATAGCTTTATGTCTCTCCTTTTCATCAACCATCCGTTTTTCCATCTTCTCTAAGCTTCTTCGCATCTTCTCATTTTCTTTCCTCTCATACTCTAGCTATAAGAAAGTTATAAAAAGCAACGGAAAAGCTAAGAAGAAAATAAGTTCAGGAAGATTTATGAGTTAAACTACGGGATTAATCAAAAGGGCATCTTTCGTTGTTTTGAAATGATTACTCACATCTAAAATACAAAGTAGGAGTAATCTAGAACAAAAGCACTATAAAACAAAATTTTCCAGTCCAATTTTCATCATCCTTTTATGGCGAGAGGAAACTACAATCATGGATAAGATTATTCATGTACGGTCATAACAAAACTGAAGCTACTAACATTACTTCTACAAATGCTATTTTTCTATCTCATTATTTACAGTAAGAAGTTAACCTGCTTGGGATATTAAAAATAGCTTAAACGTAAGAAACCAGGAATTTTTGAACCAAACGTATAATCAATTAAAAATAGTGCTTCAGTTCAATGGAAGTTTCTTTGAAGTCCACGACGTAAAAGAAAGACTTGTTACCTGTTGCCTTAAACGAGAACGCTCATCTTCCAGAAAAGCAAAAACTTCATCCCCTTGCGCAACTGAATTCTCCGACCGTTTCTTTTGCTCATCCAATTCGCGAAGTATCCTCGCATGACGCCTCTCCGTCGCTGCTAATACCTGAGAAAGGCAAAAAATGATATATATACATAACAGTTAATTAAGTTTAGTTCTTTCGCAATTAAAACCGCTCGAAGAAAAATAAAAACCCATAAATTTTTGAAAGTAGTCAAGCGGTCACATTTTCGCAATTTCTTCATGATTTCTAACTTTTTGCTACTGCAGTTTTAAACTTGCTTGAAAAAGAACCCAAATCACACCTGTTTATACCGAGAGTGGTAGCGTTTCTGTGCAGAAATAAGACGTTCTAATTGTTTAAGCTGAGATTCGTACATCTGTCCAACAGTTCCATCGTCGTCTACCTCTTCTCCAAGGAACTTCGAATCACGCTGAAGCGCCGAAAGAGGATCATAACCAGTAAGGCGACCATACCGCGCCTCGAACAAAAGCTGTTTCGCCTTTTCAGACTGGAAAACAAACAACTTTTCTAGTTACGGAAGTTAAAAAAACACGACCTAGCACCGGCTTCCGTAGGTAGTTTGGAACAGTTTCTTAAGATTAAACTGCACCTGAAATCAAAGATCTACGGATATAAAAGTGAAAATCTTATACCTTTATAATATTTTTCAAGTCTTCCACACCATATATGCTTTGTCGTCAAACGAACTTACTAAAGTTATTTACACAACTGCAAAGCAATATGATAAACAAAACAAGTGATGCACCTTGTAAGTGGCTATAACAATTTCTCGAGCCTGAACTTCGCCTTCTAAGTAAGACAATAGTCGACAAAGTTCATCATGAGAAAATCCACGTGTGTCGGCAGCTACAGCATCTTCCATCACTCACTGTAGTTCGAAATTAGAAAGAACCAAGTTAATACGAATGCCGTTCTTCAAACAGCGCAGTAGCTTCCTTCCAAAAAACTACACTGAATTCAAAATCGCTGCTGGCGTATCTAATTCTAAGACTAAAATATCAAAAGCTCTAACAGTTTTTCTGTTTACCAGAAGCTAAAACTTGAGAGATGATCCTCTTCACGCCGATAAACATTGAAGAGAGGCCTGAAACCAAATACGCATAACAATTTCTGAGGATATCATTAGAATTCCAAGTGACTGCTTGACATACAATAAGAAACCTAAAAATGCAAGAGAAAAAAAAAGGTAAGCCGAAAATGTCAAACAAAAAGACCTAAAATGATCTGACAAATAAAACTGCTTTCATTATATAGATAATACGAAACGGAATTTATATGCGAATTCCAAATAGTTGAACGAAGAAAACACAAAATAATTTCACTGTTTCTGTTACACACATAACAGAAGAAAAATTTATCTACAAATTCCAAATAGCATTCAGAAGCTCACAGAGACAACATTAAATTTTTTGGAAGAAAAAGGCTTGAAAGAAAGCTTTCAAGACAGTTAAAACCATTCTTCGTTTCATAAAAAGAAATTTTATAGTAACTCATTTTCAGCCGATTAAACGCTTAATTTTCAATATAAAAGTCTCTAAGTCATGAAAGAAACACGTCAAAAAATATCAACT